TATATACATAACAATAAAATTACGAAATTGTATCAGATGTAACTTTCTAAAGGAACTATATAGATGTAGCTACGATAGTTGTTGGTAAGCTGATGATGGTAATAATCTATTGTTCCCCATCTACAAACTATGGAATTTTCCTTAACGTTATAAATGATATATTATTTTATAAATCAACTAAATATGGAATATATAAATTACAAATAATTGGGGATTTCAATATTGATCTATTTAAAAACAACTCTTCAGATACCTCCGAATTGATAANTTGTTCTCCATCTATAAACTATGGAATTTTCCTTAATGTTATAAATGATATATTATTTTATAAATCAACTAAATATGGAAAATATAAATTACAAAAGGATGAATATAGACGTAGTTACGATAGTTGTTGGTAAGCTGATGATGGTAATAATCTATTGTTCCCCATCTACAAACTATGGAATTTTCCTTAATGTTATAAATGATATATTATTTTATAAATCAACTAAATATGGAATATATAAATTACAAATAATTGGGGATTTCAATATTGATCTATTTAAAAACAACTCTTCAGATACCTCCGAATTGATAAACCTTTGCTTTGCAGAAAATTTAACTATTCTGGCTGATTTGAATCAACCTACTAGATATGGAAAAACACTCATTCTTTGATAGACTTTGGTCTAACAAATGATAGTGTGTGTGAATTTTTAATACATCAAAATTTGATTTCTGACCACCTGCCTATCATCATCTTTACTCCCAAGAAAGACCTTGATATGGAAAAAAAAAGAGTAAAGCAACCTATCGAAAAATCAATAACTCCTCTATTTACCGTTTACGAAATACTCTGTTGTCATGTTTTTCCTGGAATTATTTTTATACTCAAAGTTTGACAACTGACCAATTAGCTGGCTTTTTATATACTATCTTACTTGTTTTCATAGATAAATATGTTTCAAACAAAGAATACTTAAAAACAAATAGAAATAACATGAAAGCATTCTTTAAGAACTTTATATCTGATCACACACTGATATTAATAAAATAGAAGAAAACTTTATTTAAGATAGTTAAGAACAAAAATTGGATGACCCTTGAAGAACAAAACAAATACTTGAAGGATATAAATAATAAGGAATTGAATAAACAAATAAGGAAAAATATTGAGAATGAAGAGAAAAACTACTACAGTTTACTGTTTTCTACTGTTAATCCCCTTTTTGATTTCTGGAAAAGTATTAAAATGTTACCCTTTGAGGTAACCAAGACAAAGAACAAGGTTAAAATAGATCAATTGATTTACAAGGGGAAAATGCTTAATGATGAGTACACATTTAGTAACATCTTTGCCGAGCATTACAGATCTATGAATGGTTTTGCACCTGATGTTTGCGGCAGTATTAACTCAAAGCAATACATAGAAAAATGCCAGTATTTCTAATACTTTCTCTTTGGAAAACACAACTGCTTTAGAGGTCTACAACACTATAATGGGCGGCTTGAAAAACAGTTCTCCAGACATTAATTTATTAAATATTGAAATTTTAAAATATATACTTGATATCCTAACTCAACCATTATCGCATCTGATAAATAAATCTTTTGAAAATGTAATTCTCCAGAAAAACTGAATCAAAACTTAGTTTTGCTATTATATAAGAATAAAGGATCAAAAAGTGAAATAAAAAATTACTGTCCAATCATAATAGTGTCTGTTTTGGCAAAAATTTTTGAGATTTTCTACGAAAGATTTTCTACCATTATAGACAAATTTCAGATTATTCGCAGTAATTAATATGCTTATAAATGAGGTTTCTCGACGGTAGACACTCTGTTGCCTTTAAAACAATTAATAACGTCCCAACTTGACAAATCAAATATAGTAATATCAGTATTCGTGGACCTCTCAAGGGCATTTGACAGCTTGAATCTGGAACTTCTGAAACAAAAATTGCAAACTGTTGGTCTGAGAGGAACTCCTCTAAGTTGGTTAAAGTCATATTTGCCAAACAGTACTTATTACGTGAAAATTGGGCAACTATTTCTAGTTTCTTTAAACCGAACAAAGGTATTTCTCAAGGTTCAATTCTAGGTCCTCTGCTTTTCAATATACACATCAATGATCTGTTTAATCATATATCAAAAGATAATATACTTATGTATGCTTGTAGTCACCGAATGGTGAGTCGTTAAAGCAAAAAGGGAATATGAATAAAACAATGGAAAAAAACCTTTATTTTTCATCGGTTGGTTACTCCTTTTAAATTTAAGTTCTACAGGATCTTTTGATTCCGACACTCCTTTAGGTACTGGGCTTACCCGTAGGAACAAAGAATCCCACACGCAGGTAGGAATGTTGAGACAAAACCCGCGACAAAGTCAAGATCCAACCGACAATTTCGATCGCGACAAAATACATATATATCTAAGACTTAAAACTAATTATCAAGAATAAAACAGAAAGGGACAGAATTTAAGACGTATAGATTGAAAGAGGAATGAGAGATNATATATATATCTGATATCCTAGCTCAACCATTATCGCATCTGATAAATAAATCTTCTGAAAATGGTAATTTTCCAGAAAAATTGAATCAAAACTTAGTTTTGCCATTATATAAGAATAAACTGGAGGCTTTTTGATCCTTTATATAAGAATAAAGGATCAAAAAGCCTCCAGTTCAGTATTCGCAAAGCATTGCTCTTTGTTACAGAGCACAATTACTTCTGCTTCAATGGAAAAATTTATCTACAGAAACAGGGGGTGCCGATGGGCTCACCACTGTCAGCTGTATTGGCAGAACTTATCATGCGGCACGTTGAACACAGTGTTTTTAAAGCCCCTCTCACTATAGCTTACCCCTTAATTTATTTAAGATACGTAGATGATATTATTTTGGCGTGGCAGGATACGGAAGACTCCTTCCGGGTATTAGAACATCACTTATCAAAAATGTATACCTCTATACACTTCACTTGGGAGAAGGAAGTTGGGAGAAGAATCGCTTTCTTGGACTTGCACATTCACAAATCCCAGGAAGGCTTGGAGTTTTCCGTTTATCACAAATTTGGCAATATCCCACCCATAATACCGGCCACAGCCTGTCAACCACAGCAATATGTTAATGCGGCCACAGCTCCCTTGATCAGATGGGCATTCTTACTACCATCGACACAACTTATCAATACTGAACTGGAGACTGTCCGCACAGCGGTGTATGCGGCGGGATTTAGTTCCTCCAAATACATCCATATTAAAAATAGAGTTATGCAGTCTCTCTTCCCTGCCACCACATTATGCAGACCAAGGGATTGGACAACACTTCGTCCCTCACTCCCATACTGTGGACACTTCACGGCCCGGATCTGCCAAATCTTTAGGCAGAATGGTTTTCGTTTACCTATAGCCCACACCATGTCTGCGACGAATCTTATGTAATGAGAGAGATGCCATTTCCACCCTGGAAAAATCTGGTGTATATTCCGTTCCCCTGCAAAATCCAATATCAGGACTATGCACCAATTATATAGGAGCGACTACCGGAATGCTGGCTGCTCGCATATCTGAACACCAATGTTCGGTGGCACTTGGCAATTGCAACACGGAACTTTCCAAATTGGTGATACAACAACACCACATAGCGCTTTGGAATCGAGTGGCAATACTCAAACGCTGTGATGAAGGGAGCTTGATGTATATTTGGGAGGCCATCTTCATAAAACTGCTCTCCCTGTGCAACTCCCCTACCCTCGACTTACCGGACGTCTGGATTAATTTATATAGGCATTTAAAAAATCAACAATAATTCTACACTCTTTTCCCACACCTCCTATATGAATCAAGGTGCATACGTGTCAGTCTTTTTATGTGCGTTTTATTTTTATATGTTACACATGTTTTATGTATTTTAAGTTATGTCACGATTTTATATTTAAAATTTCAATGTAAACTTGCACTTATGGCTCTATTCTGATCGGCTTCTATGCTGTATGTTAAGGTGCATGCGTGCCAAAATTTTATATGCATTTACAAAACGTTTTTAATTCAAAATCTAAAATTTACTTGTTCTTAATAGCCATTCCAATTGGCTTTTATGTTATACATGTTAAAGAGCACATGCGCCAATTTTTTGCATTTACAAAATAATTAATAGCCATTCCAATCGGTCTTTGTTTGTTTAAAATGCATGCGTACCAATTTTAAATATTTAATTTTAAAATTTAAATATTATTTGTAATAGTTATATTCCAAAAACGGCTAAAATTGTTAATGTTTAAATTTAAATGTTCTGTTCGAATTCTCTATTGGATTTTGAATTGCCTGAAGACGACATACATANTTTGCATTTACAAAATAATTAATAGCCATTCCAATCGGTGTTTATTTGTTTAAAACGCATGCGCACCAACTTTAAATATTTATTTCTAAAATTTAAATCTTATTTATAATAATATTCCAAAAACGGCTAAAATTGTTAATGTTTAAATTTAAATGTTCTATTCGAATTCTCTATTCGATTTTGAATTGCCTGAAGACGACATACATATTTACGTTGAAAGCGCTTGCAAGATTAAAATATTTCTTCTAATTTTATTTAACGCCTCATAGTCTGAAGTTTCTTAATGAAATTTTTGATTAAGCTGATCAAATGGTGGCCAAAATGGCAAAGAAAAAAACCATTGTCTCAGAGAATGACTACTTCACAATCAATCATCAATTGAGTTATTTGTGAAGATCTTGGTTTGCTAATAAAGTGAAAGAATATTTAAGAACAGCTTGAACTCATAAAAGGACTACACTGCTGATTACTATGTATCTAACAACTCTTACATTCCAGCAAATAAAATCCAATCACCATCTAAACTATTATAAAAAAATAAGAATGACAGTAATACTTAAAATATATTATATTTATAATCACAAATTATTTTAAGATTTAAATACTTATCATAAATATTCTAATTATTTATATTTAAGTTTTGCATTATTTATTTAACATTTTACTTACATGACTTGCAGCTTGAGGTTGAAGCCGATAACATTTCATTATTTCTTGAAAACTTTTGTCTTCTCTTGTAACCTAAAAACAAATTTTTATTATTGGAAATTCTTATTAAAAATTTTATTACTTAAAAATTCTTCTAAATATTATAATAATTGAAAGAAACACAAGATCATCAGACACAAGCCATTTTATAATTTACTGATTTCTTTATTTTGTATAAACTCATTATAAGAAAAAAAAATACAACCTAAAGAAAAATTTAGAATAAGTGTAACTCCAAATATTTTAATGTAAAAAATCTTATTGATAATATAATTCATCATCTTAAATTTTAAACAAATAAAATAAATGTTTATAAAATCAGAACAACATTGATCTTTGTTATTATATTACTTGGTTAGTTAATTTTCTTAAAATTAATTAAGAAGGTTAAAAAGGGCATATTTGTTTATTTTTTAGAAGTTCTAGTAAAGTAGAAGTTTTGTTTTGTTTAATATTTTTAATAAAATTAATAAAATAATTAATTAGTTGTATTTGCAAAATATGTCAAATACCACAAGAATGGTGTCATACCAGTTAAGAAATGAAATGATTTTAAAAAATTATGAACAATCATTCATTATTAATAAATGTAAATTTATAATTTTTTATTTCTTAAAATTACATTATTTAATTAAGTAGTTCTACCTTGCAAATTACATAAATTGCACACATAATTAACTGATCCAAATGACGATCACACATTAATTCTGTATATTGCATTAATGAATATTCAAAACAAGTCCAGATTTTCCTTCTAAGATCTTCATCAAGGATATTTAATCTATCACAGAGATCTCGTATTCTAACACCAGCCAGATGATAAACCTAATATATATAAAATTGCATATAAAAATTCACATAATATTTAATCATTAATAATTTAATAACTCTAAATATAAATTCTACTATCAATTTAAAATATGACCCCTATTATATCCTAGATGCATTTTACAAGTGCACACTGTTGGCTCTTATAATAAAGAAAATACACTTGAATACTCAACATATCTTTTAACTAAATTATAATCTGTAATGTTCGTGGTTACAGTTCTCTATGTAAGAAACATTACAGATTATAACAATGCTAGTTACTTATTACACTCTAAAGCAGGGCTTTGTAAACTATGGGTCATGACACCAAATGGAGTTGCAAAAATTAAACTGAAACAGTTTAATTTGAAGAAACAATCAGATTTTATTCATTATCATTAAAGTGTACTTTACTTTCATTAATATTTGTATACTTAAAACAAATCCTAAAACCAGTTTTTATATATAATTATGTATATTCTTTTGCTTGCAAATAAATAAAGTAGTTATGGGCAATATTTGTATGTCTTTATCTTATATTTAATACCAGGCCTGGAGTCATAAAAAAATCCACATAATAAATGGGGTCACGAATGAAAAAAGTTTAGGAAACACTGCTCTAAAAATGAAACTGCTTAACTTAACTGATAGTAATTCATTGCTTTACATTTCTTACTTTAATAATAAAAATTCACTTCAAGTCATTAACATACATATCAGTTTTAAAGAGAATCAAAAAATTTAAAGATTTGTATTACATAAGATAATTCACTTTATATCATATTTTCACTTAATTTAAATTTAAAAATTCTATAATTTCATAAAATCACTAAAGATTAATGTCAAAACAGATTAGTAATAATTCATATATTAATTAAATATCTGCTACCATAATGGAGATTAATAAAAAAAACCTAAACATATAAAATTTTTTAAAATATATGAAAACTAGCAGGTAGGCCCGGCTATGCTCAAGCAAAAGTAACCATAACTATGATTAAGATTATTACGTTACAGTCACAGAATGCAAGAATTGGGTCCCCTTGTTTCCAGACTAATTAGAGAATTTTTAGATGGTTCTAAAAATATGTTCGATTTCCCGCAGAAACGAAAAAAAAATGTATCTGCATCTTGCACGTCGCTTTCTCTTAACAATTCTATTGTTACTTAAAACTTCTATTGTTACTTAACACTTTTATTGTTACTTAAATCTTACATTATTGATGGAAGTGTTAAGCCTTAATCTTGTCTCTCTCCCCCGTGGGAAGGAATTTCGAAAAATCCCTTCTTAGTGTGCGTTTTCGTGACATACCCTAACTGTGTACCGAATTTCAACTTTCAACTCCTAACTGTTTGGGCTCTGCGCTTATTATTATCAACTCGTCTTAATTATATATATAGATTTATATTAATTTGAATTTCCTAATACCTTATAAATAATATTTTATTAATAAAATATTATGTATATTTTCTGTGATGAATATTTTGAAAACAGAAAAGTTATAGTTAAAAACTATTTTTAAAAAAATGATTTTAAAATATGAGTTTCATATTAACAGTTTGAATAAAAAGTTAAAATTATTCAAATATGTTAATATGTAGAATAAAAACCCCTTATTATTAATTTTCTGGAAAAAATATAATTTTTCAACTTGAAAGAATATTACAAAAAAAATGTTGCAAAACTTTTAAAATTATATTTTCCTTCTAAATTTCTCTTATATCAATTAAGTTTTAAATAGAATGATTCTAAACAACCAACTGCAATCAGAATAATTCAAAATATCTGTGTAAAACAGTATGAAAATATTCTGAGTAAAATATGCCTACCAAATTATTTAAGGAGAATGTGGCTAAAATATTTATTTATATCATGCTCTCATAGTTTAAGGGTACCAAAACAAAAACAAAAATTATTTCAAAAAAACTTCAGTTTTTCATTAAAAGTTCAAATTATCTGATATTAAAACATTCTTTAAAACATAATTAAAAATAGAAAAAATAAATTCTATATAAACAATAAACCAAACCCAATTTTCAATAATCAATCACTAAAATATCAGATTTTTCAGTCTGTATTTAGACTAATGTTTTAACAAATCATTTCACCTACATTAGACAAAATTAATTAGTTTGAATTATTCAAATATCAGTCTAAAATCTAGTGAAATCAGTAAATTTATTGGGCTAAAATTTGAAAAAAAAATTATAGACTTATGAATTTCCACTGTCACGTGTCTGCCTGCCTGTCTGTCTTTCCTTAATCTCAAGAACAGAGTTAGATAGATGAAAGACAAGATCAGATACAGAAACATTAGGGGCAGGAGGCATTGATTAACTATATACAAATTCCAATGCAAACCAGAAGTTGTATTATTTCAATTCAAAAATTTTCTCCTAAAAGGTGTTAGATAGATGACTGCCATGACTCTATTGTTAAAGGAAAAGTATGATGCACAGGGGCAAGCTACTACTAATTTGAGGTGGAGAGCATAAATTTTAAATTAAATTAATTAAAAATATGATTAAAAATTGCAGCCATGCATTGTGACGATGTCACAATAAATAATTGCTCATTTATAGTTAAGTTTTTGAAATAAATAAAGATATAAATACTAGTGTTGTAACGAATAGTATATTCGGCCTTAGGCCGAATACCGAATATTCGGCCAAGAGCGTGGCCGAATAGCCGAATATTCGGCCAAATTATTCGGCTCGATTAACGCACGTACGAAAATTGGCGCGCAAACCGCATTATGGCAAGGATCCTGCTCTCTATTGGCCCACTGTCACTACGCTTCACCAATCACGTTAATTCTTGACAGTTGTAGCGGACAGACAAGAGCGTCGTGGCAGTATGTGATAAATGATGATATCAAATGTGGATAACAATGAAATGACCTACTACCTAACGGAAAAAGAACAGAGAAGGACCGCGAAGTGAAAATGTGAAAATAAATATGAAATTGAGTTGATAACATAATCGAACAAGTCGAGGCAGCTTATAGGCACGAAATTCGCGCCCGTCAACGCCAAACAATTGTTGTCATAGACTTCGGAAAGCTAAATGCTTGTAATGAAAGTCACTTAGCGTGCACGGGCGAAAGCCTGGGGCCGTTCGGGCTA